CAAAGCAGCCGTCATCACATCATTATCACTTTGGCCACTTCTGAAGTCCCTCAGAGCAGCATCATAGCATCCAACAAACTTCTGTACTAGCTCGTTAATACGAGCCCACCTCTGCTTGCACTGTCCAAGCTCTCTAGGTGTTGTGCCAACGAGCAGAGGGCTTGCATTGTAGTAATCTACAATCCGTTTCCAGAAGGTACAACCTTTCTGCTCGTTACTCACCACCAGATCTTTACTGGTATTGAGCCACGCACCTATTAGGATCTTATCCTCTTTCGGTGTCCACTTCTTTCTCTCTTTCACATTGCTGTCCACAACAGTTTCATCAGGACCTTGGCCACCGAACAAAACAGGTTCGGGAGATTCAAGGTCAACTGAAGCTTGACTGTTCAAAAGGTTTACAAAACTACTTTGGCTATCCATTGTTTAGAGTGGTTTGTGTGAACTAGTTTCCGGCGCAGGGTGTTAAGTAAGGGACGTGTAACTAAGGGAAGTTAATGGGAGCAGTTAGGAGGGTAGAGTGCATTTAACCACCAATCAAATCAAATAAAAACTTATTACTAACGTTGTAGAACATTAAAAACTATCAAATCGGAGGGGTTAGGAAGTTAGAAAGCAAAATTTAAAAGCTTGCGTACCTTTCTACAGCGAAGAGACTACGCAGTTTTGATCCATTGGAGCTCCTCCTGAAAGAAAATCATACATTCGAAAGTTTTTAAAAATATCAAAGTAAAAGACAAATGTACACTAATATTTACCACCGACTCACCAGTAAGAAACATGAAGATCAATGCTAGTAGACAGACCATTACAGAAACCGCAAAGGCACAGCCTTTTTTCACCACCAACTTCTTCTTAGATAACTCACACACCGTCTTGGCTACCTTTACCAGCTTCTCCTCATTCTCATAAACCTAATCCTTAAGCTGCCTATGTTGTCTAATCAACTCACGCATCTCCTCCACAATAGCCACGTCCCACCATTTCCATATGTGGCAGTATCCATCTTCAGCATTGTCGCAAGTGAAGTATCTCCTCCCTGGATCTCTAGCAGTGTAAGCTGTTGCAATGATTGCCTCACCACCACAATAGCATGTTGTCGGAATGCCATCATCAAGCTCTGGTTGTTGTGGGTACTCGACCTCTACTGCACCGTTGTAGCTACTCTGTGCCTCATCCGCGTAACATTGAGCTTCTGCTATAAGGAGTGATGTTATATCAAACTCGTCAGACGAAGAGGGCTGAGTGTAGGAATAATCTTGCCCCATGATTCTTTCACCTGGAAAAAAACAGAACGATCGAGTTAAACTACAAACCAAACCATTACAAAACAGATTAAGCTACATAGCAACAATAACTGCTACAGAAAACAAAGGAGAATATCCCTAAATCATTCCAAACACTACCTACTTACAAGTCCAGAAAACTCGAAATCCGAAATTCGGGAGAAACCCAGATCTTTTGAATACGTAAAACCTAATAAATCACTTCTCCCAGTTCGTTTTAAACCTTAAAACCTTGAAAACACTTGTCCCAGATCGATTGAGAACCCTAAAAAATCAATTATCCCAAATCGATTAAAAACCCTAAAAAACGCGAATCCCAAATCGAGTGTAATCCCAAAACCGAACCACAAACTGAGTTCAAAACAACATGTATCCTCGTCTAAATCATTAAATCAACAAAGGAGCCTTCGATTTACCTTCGTATCGAAGTCTGGATCGAAATCGCCTCTCTCGTCTTCAAATCGCCTCTCTCGTCTCCAGAGCTCTCGTTATTTTTCGAGAAAGAAAGAGAATGACTTCTTTTTTTTTCCCCTACGAAACCCCTTCACACGCGCGTGCCACGTCGACAAGGACCAGCCTCGCAAATCCTTCATTACGTTACCAATCCTTAAGTTAGTTGCCATTAATATTATTATTATATTCAAATAATGCTAAGGATTAGTGTGACATACCCGCGTTGGACCTGGTCTAAGAAACATTTGTATGGGGCCCCAACATTATAAGGGCTCCCAATTTAAAAAAAAATCTTTCTATATATTAATCTATATATAAAATACATAAAACGTTATTATATATTAATATATATTATTTGAAAATAAGTTATCTATATATTTTTCTGTACTACAATTTTTATTTTTAAAATTTTAAATAGGTTATTCATATATAATTTTATAACTATGAAAACAAGATTATAAAAAAAATTGGAATAGGACCCCCCAATAAGTGAGATCCGGCCCTGATTGCATCAGAGAGGTACGAAGAAAAAATACGACAAGGCAATCGATATATGGAGCGCTGGAGTTTTTTACACGTACTTTTCTAAGTTTACTTTGTTACTGAAAAAAAAAAAGTTTACTTTGTTACTGGACCACTTGATTTTTTTTGTTTTGTAATTTCTCCGACTTAACTTTATTTTTTCTTGTGTAAAGATTGATAAATAAGTATTTATGATATATTGAGAGGGGGATTGATTCTGAGTCCAACCGTGGCCTTCAGTCTCAGAGAGTGCTAACGATCTGGTGGGGTACATGTTAGAAACTGATCCCAGATACCATTTACTGCAGCTGAAGTCTTACCTAAGGTAAATGTTAATAACTAATATACTCGGTTTGTGTTAGTTTAATGTTTTAATCTGGAATCTGAACTAGTTTTCTCTAAAACACCCATGGATACGAGAAGATGAAAGAAGCTTATGTAAGCCAATTGATAGCGCAATATTATGGCGGATGAAGCAACTTTGAGATATGAACAAGCTTTCACTGAAAGTAAGCTTTCACTAAAAGTAAGCATTTTCGACTCCTACATTTGCTACTCAACCTTTCTTCCATGTTCCTCAAGCGACAACTCTTTTATAGTCCGCTGTGGCTTCAATCTACAGAATTCACCCAGCTCAAAATTATGATGTAGCGTTTAAATGGATTTCAATATTTTCAGCCATCGAAGATCATTGGAGACAATCTTTGCTCCATTGCTCATGAATATTAAAGTTAAATCCAGGAAAATGAAACTTTTTTTATCGTTATTAGCTACAGCTCTGGAGCCACTCAGCTGCTCTTACTGGCCAACAACCTTCATATCCGACAAAGTTCAATTGAGAACTTGGAGCGAGCTCCTCCAATGTTCCCATCAGATACATACATCTTATTTGAAGCATAGTCTCTCGTCACCAATATTGTGTCTACCAACCGTTTCTAAACAATATTATTAAGTTTTTTTTTGTTGTCGGTTCTTATATTGACTTTATTATGAGCTTAAGAATATTGTCTCAAATTAAATATTTCTACGACTTTCTTTGTATTTCTATCGCTCATATTGTTGTAGTCTTTGTTTATTGTCTAGTCTTTGAGTTTACCTCTATTTGTAACCCTTTCTCTAAGCTCTTATACCGTGAGCAAATGAACAAAAATCCTAAAGTTACTATTGATTAAGCTCATTTGGCATTTAATCTAATGTAAGTATTTGGTGTTCGAAAAAAGATTAATTCATGTGATTTTGATTTGGTTTAATTTTATCGCTCAAAATCTATGTTGAAAAGGGAAGAAGACGCTGCTAACATGAATACCAATAAAAGCTAAAAACTCGACTGAAAAACTTGGTTCAAACTTAATTTTGGTTTGTCTCTCAATTTTGGCGATTTCCGGCTATTTCCTTTTTTTTTTAAAAACACCTCTTTCCCTCGCCGTGAGTGGAGTACACTTGCCGGCTCCTTGCTACGGTCTAAATCTCCTTTGGAAATTCTTATTTCCTTGTTCCCTTAATTTGTTTCCTTTTCTTCACTATTTTAATTTTTCCTCTTCTCACGTATTTCCTTATATTCCTACTCCCTTTCCAAGTTTGCCTTTTGACATGAATTCCTTCAAGATCGTTTCGGAATATTGTGTTAATAAAGGCAATTATACGTCAATCACGTTTGACCTACTCCCAAAGTTCTCTCCTCTCTATTGTTCCGGCGCCGTTGAGTTCCTAGAGCGTTTTGAAACTATGGCTGATATGCTTCACAAAGCAATCCAAGCAATGTCACTTGTGGAAGAAGAACCATTGACTCTCCCTAACAACCCTCGTTTCAGAGCCAGTGATGAGAACGAAACGAGTTTGTTGGGACGCCTTCTGAACCCCGAGTGCCAATCGATGGCGCGAATGATTGAATACATGCCTACGGCGTGGCGTGTGTATGGGAGAGTCCGAGGTATTGCGTTATCTCGAGACAGATTCCAGTTCATTTTTCAACGAGAAGAGGACCTTTTGATAGTACTGAAAGACAGACCTTGGTCTTATAATCATTGGGCTATGGTTCTTGATCGTTGGACGATGAATCCTCCTGAGGATTTCTTACAGAAGATGGAGTTATGGATTCGTATACGCAACATCCCAACGATTTTCTTCACTCACAGTACTATGGATGCTTTGGCTTCTGAAGTTGGGAAGGTCGTGAAGATCGAGTATGATCCTAAGGTGTCTCAAACTAAGGATTATATTAGAGCATTGATTACCTTCAATACCAACAACCCAGCCAAAGCGTCTCGGAAACTCAACATGCCAGAAGGTGGTACAGTGACGATTGAATTTGAGTATGAGAAAATTTCCAAACGTTGCTTCCATTGTCGCCGTATTACTCATGAGCAGAACCGTTGCCCTTTCTGGAAAAAAGGTGTCAATAAATCAGGGCAAAATTCTCAGGATACTAATGTCCTATCGGTGGTTCCTAGAGTGCCTTCAACGAGAGTTGGTCCCCCTGGCTTCCCTGATCCCTTTCCAGAACTCTCTAAGGAGGAGCACAAGATGGCGATGCTTTATATATCGCATTCTGATGCAACAGAGCGCTTGGTCCGTATTCAACGTGTGAGGCAAGGCATTACTGATAGCCAAGCTACCCTCCAGAAGAGCCTTGTATCTGGTGCTCAGGATTCAACTCCATATGTGGCTAAGGAAAAGGAAGTTCCCTCTGAAAGCCAGGTCCTTTTTCCAGAGCTCTCCAAAGAGGATCACAAAATAGCGATGTTGTACATATCACATTCTGATGCAACAGAGCGTCTTGCTCGTATTCAACGTGTGAGACAAGGTATTGCTGACAGCCAGGTGGAAGCCTCCTTACGACTTTCTAATATTACTAAGGATTGTGACAAAGGGAAAGGTCTGGAGTTTTCTTCTAAGGAGCATGATTTGAATGATCTGAATGATAGTAGGTTGCAGCAGAGAAGTCACGCTAACCTCCGAAAACGTGATTTGGAGAGTGATGGCGAGTCGGAAGCATCGTCTTCCAAACTGTATGTTCATTTCTCTCCTCTGTTTCCCTCGGGTTTTCAGTTAGGCCCTTCCTCGGAGGGGCGAGTCGTGAGGAAATCTGGAAGCAACGGGTCACAGAGGAAACACCCTTCTTCTTGGAGAAGGAAAACCAGTGGTCGGGAAAGCGAGGTGATTGGTTCAGAGCAGGTGGAGAGCCAAGATCATTTTCAAAGTCAACAAGCAAGTTTCAAGAGGAAACCTTCCTCTGCGTTGAACGGTTCAGAGTACAAGAATAAAAAAATCTCATCTTCGGTGGCTTCCATATTGAAGCCGCTGCCTCCCCAATGAGTGTACTATCCTGGAACTGTCAAGGTGCAGGAAGCATCGAGACAGTTCGCTATCTCCGGCGCCTTCGTCGGAAGTTTTTTCCAGATTTTATTTTTTTAATGGAGACAAAGCAAAAACACGATTACATTGTTGGTTTGAAGAAGCAGTTGGGGTATGATCATGTGATAACCGTGGAGCCTGAAGGCTTGAGTGGTGGCTTAGCGGTTTTGTGGAAGGATAGTTACCAGGTCACAGTTCTTTCTAGTGATAAGAGAATTATTGACCTGAAATTTTCTTGTGGAGTTTCGTCGTTTTACATGACCTGTGTTTATGGGGACCCGGTGACAGCTAGAAGACAAGTGGTATGGGATAGACTGGAGTCGATGGGTTTGTCCCGTGATGAAGCATGGATGTTAGTTGGGGACTTTAATGAGATTCTGTCGAATGAGGAAAAAAGTGGTGGTGCTGTGAGGAGTGATTCCTCTTTCTGGAGTTTCCGTAATATGGTTCAGAATTGTAACATAAAGGAACTTCGGTACTCTGGTAATTGTTTCTCATGGGCTGGTAAACGCGAGAATGGATAGGTACAGTGCCGTTTGGATAGAAGCTTTGGCAATGGCGACTGGTTCTCCCTCTTTCCACGCTCTAATGTAGAGTATTTGGATCTTTGGGCCTCGGACCATAGGCCCATTCGCGTTTGTTTTTCCTTAGAGAGAGAAAGCCCAAATAAGGGTCGCTTCCAATTTGATAAGCGAATGCTGTCTCGTGAAGTGTTTGAAGATATTGTGCGCTTAAGTTGGGAAGGCAGAGTGGGAGATAACAGTAATACAATGGATCGTATTCGACGATGCCGACGGAAGATCATGGATTGGAAGAAGACGTCAGATCTTAATTCCCAGGATAAGATTACACGACTTCAGGCAAGTCTCGAAACAGAGATATCGAAAGTGAACCCTTCCTTTGACGCTATGAAGATGTTAAAGTTTGATTTGGCGGAAGCTTTAAGAGAGGAGGAACTTTTCTGGCGTCAAAAATGCCGTGAAGAATGGTTGAAGGCTGGTGACAAGAATACAAAGTTCTTCCACAACTGTGTGAAAGGTAGGAGATTGCAAAATCGCATTTTGATGTTACTGGATGAAATGGGTAATGAACAATTCTCGGAAGGTGCAAAGGGCAACGTCGCGGTTGAGTTCTTCCGAGACCTGTTCACTAGTTCTAATCCATCGGATCTAGATACCTTATTTGCTGGCTTCCGTCACAGAGTTACAAGACAGATGAATTCCCAACTCACTTCATGTGTGACTTCTGAAGAAATCAAGAAAGCTGCATTTGAAGTGAAAGGGAGCAGTGCGCCGGGAGAAGATGGGCTTACCGGGTTGTTCTATCAACGATTCTGGCATATAGTTGGTCCAGGTTTGGTAACAGAGATTAAAGAGTTCTTCCGCTCAGCTATTATGCCTCAAGGGTGGAATCACACGCAAATCAGTCTCCTGCCCAAGATTGCACACCCGACGCAAATGAAAGATATGAGGCCTATTAGCTTGTGCTCGGTTCAGTACAAGATAATCTCCAAAATTCTCTGCAACCGGCTGAAGATAGTTCTTCCTGAGATCATTTCTGAGACTCAAGGTGCATTTGTTTCGGGTCGTCTTATTTCTGATAATATCATCATTGCGCATGAGATGATTCATGGACTTCGCACTAACAACAAAGTGTCCTCCGAATGGATGGCCATTAAGACTGACATGTCGAAGGCTTACGATCGAGTTGAGTGGAATTTTTTGGAGGTTCTTTTGGAGAAAATGGGTTTTGATAGACGGTGGGTCACTTGGATCATGGCATGTGTGAGTTCTGTCTCATTTTCGGTGTGCTTAATGGGAACTCACATGGATATATCAAACCAGAACGTGGTATTCGCCAAGGCGATCCATTATCACCATTCTTATTTATCTTGTGCGCAGAAGCCTTGGTCAACTACCTCAACGTTTACAACGTTTCTGAAGAAGCTGGTCGCCTCCATGGAATAGTTTTGGCTGATGGTTGTCCCTCGGTTCATCACCTTTTATTTGCAGATGATAGTTTGCTTCTGTGTAAAGCTAATGTGGAGGAAGCTTCTGAAATCATGGAGTGTATACGTATCTATGGTGAGGCTTCCGGTCAAATGGTGAATCAGCAAAAATCATCAGTAATTTTTGGATCATTGGTCCCGGAGGCTACAAAGGTGGAAGTCAAAGGTATCTTGGGTATTGAGAAGGAAGGAGGAGAAGGTTCTTACTTGGGCTTGCCGGAGTGTTTTAGTGGGTCTAAACGGAAGCTTCTTAGCTACATTAGAGAAAAACTGCAAGGTCGGTTGCAAGGCTGGTTTGCTAAGTCCTTATCGCAAGGGGGCAAAGAGATCTTGATTAAGTCTGTGTGCTTGGCCTTACCGGTTTACGCGATGTCATGTTTCAAGTTGCCGAAAGATGTGTGTTCAAAGCTGACAAGCGCTATGATCGAATTCTGGTGGAGTAGTGGCACTAACCGGAAAAAGATTTCATGGGTTGTGTGGCAGAAGTTATGCAAAGATAAAGACCAAGGTGGTCTGGGTTTTAAAGATATTGAAAAGTTCAACCAGTGTTTACTTGCTAAACAAGCATGGAGAGTTTGGGATTCTCCAGACTCGTTATTGGCTCGCATCCTTAAACATAGGTATTTTGCAAGAGGATCCTTTCTAGAGTGTAGTATGGGGTCTCGACCTTCATACGCGTGGCGTAGCATTATGCACGGTCGTGAACTGTTGAAGCAAGGTCTATTTAAGCAGATTGGGGATGGTAGGAATACTAAGGTATGGCTTGATAACTGGGTGGTAGATACGATTCCAAGACCTCCTAGATATAATCAAGACGCTCTGGTTGATCTCACCTTGACGGTCAATGAGTTGACTGACCCGCGCTCGGGGTCTTGGAATGTTGAGTTGGTGCACCAATTAATTTCAGAAGAAGATGTTGATCGTGTGCTTAATACTAAGCTCTACTTAATGAGACCAGATCAGAAAAAGTGGGCGTATTCTAGAAATGGGAGGTATGATTCCCGTTCTGGTTATAAGCTCATCGAGACGTTGTTAGAAGTTCGAGTGGGTTTTTCAAACAATCTACCTCCGCTGGAATCTCAACTGTGGAGGAAGTTATGGAAGACTAAAACATCCCCGAAATTACGTCATTTTCTATGGAGGATTTTACATGGTGCCTTGGCTGTTAAAGCTCAATTGAGGACGCGGGGAATACCGGTGGATTCGACATGTTCTCTCTGTAGACAAGAACCAGAGACTGTTTGTCACATGCTGTTCCATTGTTCAATTGCTCAAGAGGTGTGGAGTTCTTCCGGTATTACTCCTCCTCCTGCTGGATGGTCCTCCACTTCTGTTTTCTTAAATGTGCATTACCTAATGGCATGGAGTCAGAAGAAGGATGTGGGGGTTGTAACGCGGTTTTCATTTCCGTGGGTGCTTTGGCAGTTATGGAAGGCAAGGAATAAATTCTGTTATGAGAAAATCCTTCCAGTGTCAAGTAATATTGTTGCTTTGGCTTTGGATGAGACTACGATTTGGCTTAAATTACAAGGTTTACTGGTTAGTGTCACTTCTGACGGGACATTAAACCCAGTAGTGTCTCCTGTGTGGAAAAACCTCCTGCTAGGTTCCTTAAATGTAATGTAGGATCGTCCTGGTCTCATTCTTCTGGTATCTGTGGTGCGGCTTGGATTGTGAGAGATTCTAAAGGAGCGGTGATCTTACATAGCAGGAAAGCGTTTAATGGTATCACATCATCAACACAAGCTGACTTACTCGCATTATCATGGTCAGCAGAAGCTATGATGGATCTGAAAATGAAGGGAGTGATCTTTGAATTCTCTTCTCCTACGAGCCTTGTTTTGGAGAACCCTTTGGCTTATCCTTGTCACTATCACTCTTGCTTTCAAGTGCTCAGGTCTATAAGTTCCATTCCAGGTAGCTGTTTGCGCCAAGTCCCTGATGTCTGTAATTCTCCAGCTCTGCAAATTGCAGATAGTGTGACTCGGGAAAATCGTTTCCAATCGTATGTTGCTCGACATGGCCCAAGTTGGTTGGCTTCATCTCTCTCGCAGAAGCTGTATCAAGATCTTAATCTCAACTTATTGGCTGCAGACATTCCTCGAGGTCTCCCAGTTCTGCAGTTCCTATGGTTTTAACTTTATGTTTTGGTCTTTCCCAATTTTCTGGGTTGGTTTATTGTTGCCTATTGGCATTTGTGTTTTTTTTGGTTATTACTCCTCCACGGGAGAAACTTATGATTTCGTATCAATGACAAAAAAAGAAAAAAAAACTTAACCAAAACTGAAGTTAAATAGCTCTTGGAAAATATAAGACATAGCATTCTCTCCTTTTTTTTTTCCCTTGAGTTAAACCGGTATTGATTTCTAGTTAATATTTTCAGTTTAGGCTGATTTCCATGGAAATGGTGGGCATGATTGACATTGTGTTCATTTTAGCTACAATGAACCGGTACACAGAGTCGAAAGAGAGGATACTACCCGGTTACGTTCCAAAACTGAGCTGTACCAAATACAAACCAGACGTAAACCGGATCAAGAACCAATTAAACGTTTTTGCAGGTTTTTCTCCAAAAGTGGCCGCCGATTCATTCTCTTCTGCTCCTTTTAGCTTATCGCACATTTCATTTCTAATGCTCTCTCTGATTCTCCATGGAAGAAAGTCTCTGTCTCTTCAGAGATGTCGTAACTTGCGAGTTGCATTGAACCCTCTTCAAGATTTCTCCACTGCAAGTGCTGCTGCAGATACAGATACAGATACAGATACGACCCTTCAAGATGGTCGTAAAGGTACGAACTTTACTGCCTCTTACCTCGTAACATCACTGGGTTTCACCACAAAACTCGCGGAATCAATCTCAAAGAAAGTCAGTTTCGAGAAAAAGTGTAATCTTGAATCCGTTCTGAGTCTTCTTAGAAGTTTCAAGTTCACAGATTCTCAGATCTCCAACATCATTAGGACATACCCACAAGTTCTTACAGCAGATTCTCTTGGTCCAAAGCTTAAGTTTTTAAAATCAAAAGGAGCTTCAACCTCTGAGCTCACCGAGATTGTTTCCAAAGTCCCCAAGATCTTGAGAATCAAAAATGACAAAACTTTAGTCAGATACTATGATTTCGTCAAAGAGATTTTACAAGCCGACAAGAGCTCCAACTTCGAAGTTTCGTTATTACCAAACGGTCCTAACAAAATCAGAAACGTTTTAGCTTTGAGACAGTTAGGCATGCCTCAGGAACTCTTGTTCCCTTTGCTCATCTCTGAGCACGGGGCTGTACATGGGAAAGAAAGATTCCAAGAGTCTCTCAAGAAGGTTCTTGAGATGGGTTTTGATCCCACAACCGCAAAGTTTGTGCAAGCTCTCCGCATGGTTTACCAGATGAGTGAGAAGACGATAGAGGAGAGAGTTAATGTGTACAAAAGGTTAGGGTTGAGTGCACAAGATGTATCGGAGATGTTCAAGAAATGGCCTACTTTTATGACTAACTCCGAGAAGAAGATAACTCAGACTTTTGAGACGTTTAGAAAGTGTGGACTAGTGGAAGAAGAGATCCTCGTAGCGTTCAAGAAGTTTCCGCAGTGCATTGGTGCTTCGGAGCATAACTGCGTTGAAACTTTTCTAGGGTTGGGGTTTAGTAAAGATGAGGTGGCTGTGATTTTCAAGAGGTTACCTCATTGCATTGGGTATTCTGCTGAGACGGTTAAGAAGAAGACTGAGTTTCTTGTGAAGGAGATGAAGTGGCCGTTGAAGGGGGTTGTTTCGTACCCTGCTGTGCTTGGAATGAGTATGGAGAAGAGGATTGTGCCAAGGTGTAATGTGATCAAGACTCTTATGTGTAAAGGTTTGTTAGGAAGTGAGCCACCTCCGATTGGGTCTGCGTTGGCGTGTACGGATGAGTTGTTTTTGAAAAGGTATGTGAGGAAGCATGATGATGACAAGGAGCTTGTGGATGAGCTGATGGCTATCTTAAGAGGGTGTCGTGCCTCATAGACCATAAGTCTTGTCAAGCATTTTGTTTGTTTTGTTCTGAAAATGGGATTGTTATGTAAACATGAGTTTAGGTTATGACTATTCCTTAAGAAGAAATTGAGATTTTAAAACTATTAGCCAGGTAATAGCGGACACAAACCTCTTTGTTAGCATATCTTGAGGGTGATTGAGTGTATTGGTTGGTGCAGAAAAGAAAGAAAGTTTCAGAAGTTTGTGATTTTCATTACTTATTTATTGTTTATATACTCGAGGAACACAATAGTTTTTTGAAATGAGATTTGAGATAAAAGTGGGCTGAATTATATCAATTCCTAATGCTTATTGCAACTAGCAAATGGTCAAAAGGTCGACCAAAATACAACTTGGTAGGACTTGTACCTGTGGTGTCCCTTCAGAACGATTCCACTTTTCAACCAAGCTAATTATCCTGTGCAAGCAGATAACGGACCAATTAATAACAATATACTGCAAGAGACTGTTGCTCACCAGGTTTCACAACCACTAAGGCACCAACATTGTGTTGTGTCATCTAAACCAAAACCACACACACAGCAAAACACTCAAAGATAAGAACTTTTGAAAATGCAAAGTGAGAGAGATATTGATTTACATACGAAAGCTGTTCTTAGATTAAGAAATTTATGTCGGTGGTTTATCAACAAAGCACCAGTGGTCTAGTGGTAGAATAGTACCCTGCCACGGTACAGATCCGGGTTCGATCCCGGCTGGTGCATATAGAGCTGTGATGATATTGGGCTTTGGCGATGGTTGGGTCCATCGCATTCTTCCGATCAATAGGAAGAGATTTGCCGCACGCTGAGATCTTTTTCTTTTTTGGTTTTCATTTTCAACTGTTTTCTTCACATACTGATTGTTCATCTTTCACAGGATCCACAATATGACCAACGATAAAGAGTCGATTCTGAGAAGCTTAAACTGGGAACTTTCAGAATCACATCATTCTGGTTTTATAGACACAGTCCTAGACTTCAGTTGGCTTCACGGAGAGTATATATCTTCTTCTCTCAACGTCCGGTCATCGCCTGTTTTCTTGTAAAGGTCCATCCTCTTTAGCTCTTTCGTCCTCCACAAGCAATCTTGGTTTTATAACCTATAAATTTCTGATTAGTGAAATGGGTCTTTTTGTAGATTTTTGATATTATTGACTGCTGCAATGCCACAACTACATCCAGCTCCATGTGGAACAGCTAACTCGTGTATCAGGCCAAGAGGTGACCAGATAGCGTTTTAACTTATGGGTCTAGAGTTTCCTGTAGTAGGAGAAGGTGGGATTATACCACGCAATCTAGCTTTGGGGGCTGATCAGTTTAACCCGAAAAGCAGGCCAGAGAATAGAACGGACGACCAACCCTAGTTGGTGGACCTTAACCCTGTCTCGTCTTTCCTACAAAGAGCCCATATGGTTAACTAAATCTGTCCGTGTCTGCTCTATAGGATTTATCACCCTTATGGTTAATTTTTTTTTTTTTTTTTTTTTATAATTTTAAACCGGGTTGAGCTTTCTGGTTATAATAAAATTTGTCGTAAGCTCAGCAACCCATGACAAATCAATTACAGCATCAACCTACGACGCCGTTATTCTGGAGCGGTTAGAATAAGTAGAAAATTTCCAATTCGACAAAGATCTTCAAAACCTAGTTGGTGAACACTAACTTTTGTCTCTATTTTTCTCTTTCCTACTTATATAGATTTCCGAAAAAGAGAGTCCCTGTGAACTAGGCATAGCTATGGTTAAGTATCTGTCTATGATCTCGGCTATTCAATGGAAGAAGAGGAGGTCATCATCAAAGGAGATGAGAAGAGCAAGAGGAGGGAGAATGAGAAGAATACAAAGAAGAGACGATTTTGTGGCACCAGAGATTACTTTTGATCTCGTGATCGAGATCCTGAGTAGATTGCCTGCTAAATCTCTTATGAGGTTCAGGTGTGTCTCAAAGCTCTGGTTTGGTCTGATCCGTTCTCGATATTTTAGCAACCTTCATCTTACGAAGAAGATCTCATCATCTCCTCCATGTGGAGAACCACTTCTTCTGTACGTAGATTTCTGCACCAAGTCTGAACTGCTATCATTAACATTATCGTCTAGTAATGCTGCTGAGTCATCATGGCTAGAACCAGATTTTACTTTCCCAGGGATGGGAGGGATGGGAGTACACAGGACACTGATTTTTCGCGGTTTGATTTTATACACTTTTTGCCAAAAATCATTTATCTATAATCCTGCCACTAGACAAAGATTAAACTTACCCACCATCACCTTTGCTCAACAAGAGCGTAGTCATAAGAATGTCTACTACTTTTTCGGACATGATCCTGTTCTTGATCAATACAAAATAGTCTGCAATGTTTTTGAGAGATGGATAACCTCCGAGTTTTGGGTCTTCGTACTGGAACCAGGAAGTGTTTGGAAAAGAATTGAGTATGATGATCAACCTCACGCTCCTTCACGACAAGGACTCTGCATGGACGGAGTTATATATTATCTAGCTTCCACTCCGACATGTCCCAATAATGTTTACTGTTTTGACGTTAGGTCTGAAGAGATCCGTGCGATCCAAGCACCTCATGCAGTATCTCAGTTTTCTAAGTTATTGAATTTCATAGAGCATGGTGGGAAACCGACACTCTTTGATTATACACATATTAGAGAAACGGGTGTGTCGGAGTTGTGGGTCTTGGAGGATGGTCTAGGTGGAACTTGGTCGAGGAAGTCTCTGGTTTTGAAGCCTTGTCAGAGGCATTTAGTAGATAACATCATTATTGGTCGTATGGTGCATAGTACACCTCAGAACAGTGAGATTATCTTGGCGTTGCCTAGTCATTCTTACCTTCTCTATTACGATCTTATAAAGAATGATCTGAGAAAGGTTAATATCATCAGAGCTACAACGCGGGATGTGTATATCAGGGTTATGGATATATGTGAAAACATCCTGCACCTGGAAGCTTGAATACAGTTTGTTCTATAAGATTTATCATTATCTAATTGTGTTTTTTTCTTACAAAGTTATCTAATTGTGTTTGTCTATACAGTTGAACTATTTATTTAGTATTTTTCCAATTTACTTGTACTCCAAACAAGCAAAACAATAGTTAAATATTTCTGCTTTTTTTTATTGTTTAATATCATAAAGACAGATGGGACTATGGATGGATTTTGAAGCTTGAATGCTGATGATCCGTGAGCTATATTAGGTATTTTCTTTTACTTTACTCTCTAAAAAATTTGGTCTAGAATACATGTGAGGCTCCTACTGAACCTGAAGAGTTCAGTAGCCATGAGCTTGAATTTTACACCAAGAACTATGGCTTATATATGCTGCACCAGCGAAGGTAGAGCCAGCCAAGACATATGCAGCGTCAAAGCTACAGAGCCGATCTTACACAGCTTTCTTGGTTCGAATCCAATTCGTGAGAATATGAGAAATTGTTGTTTGTTGATTCTGAATCAGTAGCGGGCAGCAAATTCTTCTCTATTCTACTATCTGATCATATTTATTACCCGATTTGAAACCTTTCTGATAACTCCATCTGGGTGTCCAGCTAAATAGGTGTTAAAAACAAATTTATTTTATTGCTAAATCAAAAATTGTAGTAGTAAAGGTTGTTAGTTGAACATAAACAGTAAACTTTTTGACTTGGTTGCAAATTGGAAAAAAAAACTAACTCATCTTTTTGAGTTTAGAGCAATTTTTTTAAACGTTAATTAAAGTAGAAATGCTATAACATTCAAGAGAACTTGTGGTTGAATATTATTAGTTTCGTACCAATAATTTGGGTCAGAAACAAGGCCAATAATTGATTTCAGATTACCTCTTTAGAGGCCACTCTTAAAAATCAATGCAATAAACTTGAATCAGTTTCTTGTTCTTTTGTCATTTTAAATTAGTGTTACCTACTTCCTTGCAACGTCTCCAAAAAGATTTACTAGATCCTTTGGTATAAGAAGAAACCAATCCCCACAGAACTAGTCTAGTTTTCGTGTATAAAAATCAAAGATCAAAAACAAGAATAACTCTCTTATTATTTGCTTAAGAAACTTCTCAAAATTTAAACTATCTCAATCCTCAAATCTTATGTTATGTCACACATTGACATCTCCATATATATGAGAATATAAAATCCTAAACACACTAACCATAAGTATTTAGATAACTCCTAAATACATAAGGACTTTCCTATTTCCTAATATATATCTCGGTAGGAAATATATAACTTCATCTCTAAGTTATTTCAAGCTTATCTCAATATTCTTCCCCTTAAATTTGAAATCTTCATTTACCAAATCTTGAATACTTATGAGTTCCTTCATTTTCTTGAACTTGATTCTCCCCAATGTTTTGGTCAAAATATCCGCCCAAAAAGCTATCAATAACTCAGCTTCTAGCAAAGATTTTACCCCTGAGTAAGCTCTTCTACTATAAGATACTATTTGACCCTGTGAATTCCGATTGATCCATGAAGCTCCACTGATCATAGTATCCCCATCATTGTTTTCAAGAGAGATGATTTCTAGAGAGATAAGAAAAGTCATTTTATTAGAGCTTTTTTTAATCTCTATAATATTATTTGACAAGTTAATTTTCTACGTGTCGCGCTCACGTTAATTCTAACGATGGTTCATTACATTTTATGGTTATGTCTCACTAAAGTTAGCACTCTGTGCTAAGATATACATTTTTACTATGCTAATTTTGTAGTTTGTATTAACTGTAAGCCCGTGTTTATGGTTATTAAGTTAGCACTATTTGTGCTCGGATATATTTCTTACTATGATAAGTTTGTAGTTCGTATTTATGGATATATTTCTTAGTTTGTATTAATTGTAAACCCCTGTGTTTATGGTTATTAAGTTAGCACTCTTTGTGCTCGGATATACTTCTTACTATGGTAAGTTTGTAGTTCGTATTTATCGTAAACTCTCTTGTTTATATAATTTCTTACTATGATAAGTTTGTAGTTCGTATTTATCGTAAAACGCCCTTGTTTATATAAAATAATCTTATAATCTTAACTGTAAACGCAGTCAATAATTTAACTAAGTGGAGGTTTATCCCTTTGAAATTAGACATTATTGGTTTTGTTCGATCTTAACTAAAGTGGCTAATGGAACATTGTTCATATAATTAAATAACTTATCGGATCCTGAATCCAAACATTCTCCATAATATAACTTTAAAGTCCGCTCCCAAGCATTTTTCAAGTGAGATTGGGACAAGACATATCCTATGCAAGACACATTACCGGTTAGACGTATAACTTGTAAAACAAGAAAAAAAGTGATTAGAAATGTGAATTAGGTTTAAAAGTTTGTGTACCACTATAGCTTTATAGTTGGCCTGGATTGTTTTACACATATATGCTATATATAACTTGAATCTCCTGTGAGATATAGAAAGAGAGCTGTCTTGTTGCATAGCTCAATGATGGCAAAAACAAACCAAGCTAACACTATCTTCATCCTATATGCTTCCTTCTTCTGTTTCTACTCCATACAACAACTTCACAGCCTCTTTTCTTAGATTCAAGTAAGCTATTGACTTCTTGCAAACACCGGACTCCAAAACTCCAGTTTCAAAATTACAGTAGTAGCTTGAATGCTTGTACGCCGCCATACTGGGCCTGGTGTAACCATAGATTGGTTTATGAACCAATAACAAAACTCAGTTGAATAGTAACTAACTAGACCACAATAATCTGGTTTTGCTCAGGTCCTAGTTTATGTTGTTACTACTTAGCCTTGGACTTGATGACACATTTGTGATGCAAAATGTGAAAAACGATGAAGATCAGACCAATACTCGGCTTTTACGATTTTTAGATGATTTTTGAAACTAGTTTAAAACGTTAAACATAAAAAAAAAAAATTCAAAACCAAGTCTTTATTTTATCGGCTTAGTTTGGCTTGGCTTGGTAGTCGGTTTGTTTTTACAAAATTTTCCAAACCAAACTTAAGTTATACCAAACTGATCTCTCGAAATCATAACCAAACTTTCAAACTAAAAACCAAACTAACCCAATTAAACTGAACTGAAACTAGCCGTATTTAGTTAACAAAAATGAAAAACCAAAACTCAACCGTAATTGTTTTGGTTCAATTGGGTATAATTTTAACCCTCCAAATTACTAGAAACCCAAATTAATGAACCGAAATTAACAAGTCGACCAGAACCCACATGCCTAACTGTTGGAATGGAAGACAAAAGTGTTTTTTATGTAACTCACTCTTAGGTAACGGGTTCGACGTAAGTTGTTACAAAACTATCTACTAGTGAGATGTTGTTGTTGTTGACTTGCAGAAATGGCATAATTTGAGATTCTCAGTGCAAAATGCTTCTCCTTTCTCCTCTGCTAGTGCTTCTGCTGCAACTGTGAACCCTCGGACAGGTCACAACTTTAGCGTCGTCTCTACGTACCTCGTTGAATCTCTGGGTTTCACCACAGAAGTCGCAGAATCAGTCTCCAGAAAAGTCATTTTCGAGGTCAAGGTTAACACTGTTTCTGTTCTGAGTCTTCTTAGAAGCCATGGGTTCACTGATTTTCACATCTCCACCATCATTACAGCTTACCCAGGATTCCTTATAGCAGATGCTCATAGATCTCTTTCTCCCAAGCTTAAGTTTTTAAAGTCAAGAGGAGCTTCCACCTCTGAGCTCACTGAGATTCTTTCCAAAGTTCCTAAAATCTTGAGAATGAAAAAGGACAAAGCTTTAAGCAGATACTATGACTTTGTCAAATACATTATAGAAACTGATAAGAGATGAGGTTGTGATGATTGTCAAGCGCTTTCCTCCGTGCCTTGGATTATCTGTTGAGATGGTGAAGAAGAAGACTGAGTTTTTGGTGAAGAAAGAGATGAATTGGCCGCTAAAGGCTGTGCCTTCGTACCCTCAGGTGCTTGGATACAGCATGGAGAAGAGGATTGTGCCAAGGTGTAATGTAATCAAAGCTCTCATGACTAAAGGATTCCTTGGAAGTGAACCCCCTTCAATTGGGTCTGTTTTGGTATCTACCAATGAGATGTTTTTAGAAAGGTTTGTGATGAAACATGATGATGAGCAGCTTGTGGCTGAGTTGATGGGTATTTTCACATAATGAGAGCAACTTTGATGGTTGTTTTTTGTTTGTTCTCTGTTGATTTTAGATTCAAATGAGGATCTTTTGATGCTGACTGTAGGAAACGGAGGAATTTCATCCTTATAAGTATATGAGTTTCTGAAAAGCCATATGCTGTCTTCTGTTCTGTGTTTGCCATTAACAATAAAGCTTTGGTAATCAAGTATTTGATGAGCAAAAGATTGAATCTTTGATTCCCTGCTTAATAGAATCTTTGTTTGTTTCTTTGATTGATTAATAAATACAGGGTATATAGCAACACCAAAAGTCATTTTAAGATTATGGTTTTTTTTTTTTTTTTTTTTTTTTTAAAAATTTTAAAATTNTTTTTTTTTTTTTTTTTTTTTTTTTTTTTTGAAACATTTTAAGATTATGGTTATTGTAACATAATATGCACAAAAGCAAGACTCATACCAAAAATCTCCAAACTCTGAGTAAATCTGATATCCAGTAATATTAAATCTCATACCAAAAATCTCCATCTCAACAATATTTTTCATTGTTCAGAGCTTTTGAGTGAACATCTCCATTACCAATTAGATTTTTTGTTTGCGCATTGACATAATTATTTTTTAATTTCTAATCAATACATTGATGTCAAAAAAAAAAATCAATACATATGTTACTTATTCAAAACTATCGTAATAAATTATTGTTTATATTCTTAAAATTTTAAACTAAATATCAAATTATTTATATGCAATAAAGTCATTTATCAAAATATACATGCTCGTTTTTTTTACTTAAAATATACATGCTCGTTAACGTTAAATTCTTTGCAAAATTTCACATAATATAATTTTTGTGAAAACTATACTCTATTAATTTTTAATAAATATTTTTTTTTTAAATTATTCGATGTTCACTTTTCATGAATATAAAATTAAGATTTTAATTATATATATGTATAGTAAACTAAGTGTTTTATGTTTCTTTGTTTTAATTTTTATGATTAAAAACATTTTTGGATAGCAGCATAATATATATATAAATAAATTATAGATTTGTTTTCAAAATACATTAAAAATTATATTTTCAGATAAAATATATACATGAACTTTCAATAATTTGTTTCTAAAATAAATATATTTTTAATTTTTCGCTAAACTTCATTATAGCAGTTTAAATTTATTATATGATTAAATAAATTTAAAATTAATTTTATTTTAACTAATTTTTATCATATTAGTTTATAATAATCTAATCTAATAAATAATCTAATCCAACTAACCAATTAAAATCAGTGATTTTCGATTAGGCACTAGGCCTTGCACATAGCGCAATTTCTAACATACTGAAAGTTTGAAACTAGGGATTCCGTTCTTCTCGAAGTTTCTGGTTTTTTTCTCTTCTGCCCACTTCGGTAATTCGCATTTGCGTTACGTTGTTGTCTTAATGTCCTCTCTCAAACTCCATGGAAGAAGAAGGCTCTTCTTCGACTTGCCTAATTTGAGATTCTCCTTGCAAAATGCATCTCCTTTCTCCTCTGCCACTGCTGCAACTGTGAGTCCTCGGAAAGGTCAAAACTTTACAGTCTCTGTTGCTTACCTCGTTGAATCTCTGGGTTTCACCACAAAACTCGCGGATTCAATCTCAAAGAAAGTCAGCTTTAACAAGGACAACATTGATTCTGTTCTGAATCTCTTTAGAACTCATGGCTTCACTGATTCTCACATCTCAAACATCATCACAGTTTACCCACAAGTGCTTATAATAGCAGATTCTCTTGCTCCCAAGCTTGAGTTTCTAAAGTCAAGAGGAGCTTCAGCCTCTGAGCTCACTGAGGTTCTTTCTAAAGTTCCTAAGATATTGGGATCCAGAAGGGACAAAGCTTTAAGCAGATACTATGACTTTGCCAAAGAGATTGTACAAGCTGATAAGAGCTCCACCTTCAAGAAGTTGCATCCTTCTTCTCTGTTGCCACAGGGTAGTCAGCAAGAGAACAAAATCAGGAACATATCAGTTTTGAGAGAATTAGGAGTGCCTCAGAAGCTTTTGTTCTCATTACTAACATCCCATGTCCAGTTTGTATGTGGGAAGGACAAGTTTGAAGAGTCACTCAACAAGGTCCTTGAGATGGGTTTTGATCCCACCACCACCACCCTTAGGTTTGTGGATGCTCTGCGTATACTTTACGCACTGAGCGACACAACAATGAAAGCAAGAGTGGAAGTCTACAACAGGCTAGGCTTTACAGTGGTCGACGTGTGGACAATCTTCAAGAAGTGGCCAACCTTCTTGTCATACTCGGACAAGAATATAGCTGACTCCGTCAAGACATTTCTAGAGATTGGCTTCAGCAGAGATGAGTTTGTGATGATTGTCAAGCGGTTTCCACAGTGTCTTGGGTATTCTGCGGAGATGGTGAAGAAGAAGGCTGAGTTTTTGGTGAAGGAGATGAATTGGCCGCTGAAGACTGTGGTTTCAAACCCTTCAGTACTTGGACGGAGTATGGAGAAGAGGATTGTCCCAAGGTGTAATGTAATCAAATGTCTAATGTCCAAAGGTTTGATCAGAAGTGAACAACTCCCTTCTATACATTCTGTCTTGATATGTACCGATCAAGCCTTCTTAAGTAAGTATGTGATGAAGCATGATGATGATAAGCAGCTTGTGGCTGAGATGATGGCTATCTTCACTAGAGGTCGTGTTAAGTAACTTTTAATGGTTGTGTTTTTTGTTTTTGTTTCTCTGTTGATTTTAGATCCATATGTGGATCTTTTGATGCTGACTGTAGGAAACATATGAAGTGCATCTTTATATATATAAAAAGAAAAAAAGTTGACCAACTACACTAAATATATCATATTATGGTGGAAACCATTCAATGTTTCAAATAATATTAGCAACTACAAAATGTTTATGTTAATACATATGACATCTACGAAGTAAGATTTAATATGGTGACAACATCATAAATAGGTTTAATTGATTTTTTGCTTAGTTAATGGGGTCATTATGTAAGTTTTAAAACTGAAATTCATTTTAAGAAAATTTTCCCCGAGAACTCATAAACCAATTTCATGACATACTAAATCAATTTATTCCCCAAATTGATTGACTTAGGGTTCTAACAGAGAGAGAGGGAAATGGAGTTGAGTGGAGGATCTGGTAACACATTAAAGAGCAAGGTTCCAGTATGATTCACCTTTTTCCCGCAACTGAATCACCATGTATCACACTATCACAGACGATTTACTCCAATCACACTCCTAAAATCTGATTTTACATTTTTCCAAAATCATTTTTTTCTCTAGAAACAAACTAACTCTGAAACGAAATAAGATTGGTTGGGTTGGTAGTCGGAAATCTCTCTCAGTCTCCTTCACTTAATCTCTTTATCTCTCTCTTATGAACCCTAAAAAATCGATTTGGGCAAACATAAGTTACTTCTCGGGTTTAGGGAGTTGGGTGGGTCGGGTTTTGTTAATTGGGGTGTAGGTTCTAAAAATTACATAATAACCCCATTAACTAAGCAAAAAATCAATTAAACTTATTCATAATGTTACCACCTTATTAAATCTTATTTTGTACATGTCACATGTATTAATAAACGCCTTATAGTTGCTGATATATTTTGAAACATTAGATGGTTTCCACCATATTACGACATCTTTCGTGTAGCTGGCAAACTGTTTTCTTTATTTTTATATAAATATTGAGTTTCTGAAAGACATCTACTGCCCTTTGTGTTTGCCATTACCCAATCACGCTTTAGTAAACTAGTATATGTGATGGAGCATGATGACAAACAGCTTGTGCAGTTGGTTATCTTAGAACAGAGATTGTGTTTCACTCACTTATCACATAGAACAACAGTGAACACGGTGAATCTTTTGATGCCTTACTGTCTGTGAGTGTCTGACTTCCTGTTTATGAGTGCCTTACGGATGGATCCAACATGTTTTCTCAGTCTGTTTCATTTCTAATATAGCAACATCAAATGTCATTAATGAGCGGAGAAGGTATTGGAGATTACTGTTTTTAGTGAAGTTTGTACTTTTGGTCTATGAAAATGTGACTTTAGCTGATGATCATCGTAAACCAGAATGCACAGTACTCAAAACGCTAGAGGACATACCAAAAATCTCCAAACTCTGAGTAAGTATACACAGCTAAATCTGATATTCAGTGCTAGTGAACAAACATTTTTAGGAAAAGAATAAAAATGCAATTTTTATCATTATTCATTGTCTGTTGGGACGTTTTACCTCAAACCGAACTCTCAACCTCAAAAACTGAACCCAAAAGATCAAAAACAGATCCAAATCATTATATAAAAATATTCGAATGTGATTTGAGAACTTGGTACTTTGGAATTTGGATACAACCCCAACCAAAACCAAAATCCAAAACTTAGATACAACTATATTCGAAATTAGTGAAATATATTACTAATTTTATATATACTAAGGTAGTTTAGTTGTTTTAGAGTATTTTCAAGATTATTTAGTTTATTTATTTATTATTTTGAATAATTTTTAGTTAGTTTAAGTAGTTTAACTTGTTTTTAATTATATTTGTAAATAATTTAAATATTTTGAGTATTTTTATCAATTTTTTTTTAGTATTGTAACGATAATTGAAATCGGTAATAATATTTTAACATTTTTACCAAAAAATAAGAAAAAACTGTACTCGAAATTAGTGAAATATACTATTTTTATATATACCAAGGTAGTTTAGTTGTTTTAGAGTATTTGAAAGATTTTTTAGTTTATTTGTTTATTATTTTGAATAATTTTTAGTTAGTTTAAGTAGTTTAACTTGTTTTAATTAGATTTGTAAATAATATATATATTTTGAGTATTTTTATCAGTTTTTTTAGTTTTCAGAATGATGTTTATTTAATTTTATTGAAAACTAGAATACAAGTTCTTTTTATAATTGGTTAATTGGTTATGAACTTATGGGTAAAGCACACAAAATTCAACATTGTTTTTGAATATTCAGATATCCGGTTTGGATATGCCAGGTATAGAGAAATATGTAAACCGGTTATGGTTTGGTTCAGTATGATATCCTTTAATTCGGTTCGAAGCCCCAGCAGCAGCAACAACAAACCTTATGTTAAAGAATAAAGAAGAAGGTTGTAACTCTCATTGTCTTATTCATCACGTGCACATACATATATATACATACAAGAGAATAAGCATATTCCTTAGGAGATAAGGATTACAACAATAAAGGGGATGATTATCCTAATCCTATAATGATTAGGATAACTACAACATATGGATAAATACAAGGGAGGATAATGACAAG